CTATAGTGTCAAATCAAACACAACACAATTATAACAAAACCAATTGTTTAAAAAAAAAAAAAAAAATACACCTGCAATCAGTTTACAAAAATTACAACTGTACCATGTAAAAGTAAAAGTGCTGTAAAACTATTTTCTTAAATTTTCTCCATCCTTCCTCTTCTCTTTCATTGTCTCGTTCTTTTCAAAACTTTCTTCTCTTTCTTCTGTAAGTTTCTTCTTTCTTTCTCTTTGTTTTCTCCGCCTTCTCTTCACTTCCTTCTTAAACCTTCATCTATTTTGTATAAATTTATCTCTATTTTGTTTCTCTTCCCTTCTCTTCTCTCCCTCTTCTTTTGGTTCTTCTATTCTCCCTCTGCCATTTGTTTCTTGTACTCGGTTGTGGGAGTTGATAGCTTGTTTGCTGGAGTTGATTGTTGTGTGTTGATTGTGGGAGTTGATTGCTTGTGGAAATTTGTGGGAGTTTGTCGACTGTTTTGGGTTTCCGATTGAGAGAAGAAGATGAAGTTTTGCGATTTGTTTTAATTTTTAGTAAAAAACTCACTAAAACGACGTCGTTTTGGGGGTGAGATTTTTTTTTTTTTTAATAGTTCGCGAATAATTCGCGAATTATACGGGAAGCCTTATTATACGACAAATTTTATAAAATACGTATACATACGTTTTATACGTAAATTATATGGTTGTCTGTACAATTCACGTATAATACGCGTTTTTACTGACTAGACATTGGTGGGTACCAATACCATCACAGCAATATTGGACTGAAAATGCAAAGCCATATAACACCATTTAGGGAGAACAACATCTTCCCACCCAGGGTTTGGCGAAACGACATGTGCCCACCCGCCAAGTTTTAAAACGACACTTTCCCACCCATTGTTAAATTCAGACATTAATTTTAACAGTAAAAAAGGTATTTTTGTCAGTTCAAACAATATATATATATATATATATTCTGTTAATTAATAAATCTGCAAATATAATAAATAAATTAATATCATATGAATATTATGAATAAAAAATTAAACTTAAATCTTCCATACAATAAAATTTCACACAATTCTTCCATATAAAGAAATCTTCCATATAAAAAGATTATACATAATTCTTCTGTAAGACCAAATTTGCTTTCCATAATTCTTCAATACAGCCAAGAAATTACTTCGCATAAACCTTCCATACAATCCAAATTTTGCTTAACATAACTGCTATAAAAAAAACAGAATTTAGTTTACGTGAGGAATTTTGTCTAATAGGTGGTGGGTGAGTTGGCTGTGGGAAGGTTGTAAATGATGGGCAATCGCCGGCGACCAGGTAGTTACACACAACAACAATCAAATAAAGTAGAGGGAGAGAATTGAAACAGAGAAGGAAAAAGAGAAAAGGATTCTGCCTTCAAAAATTTTCAACCCAAAATTTGGTTCACATACATCTTCCAAACAACCCAGAATTTGGTTTACATAAATATTCACTTCTAATTCCATCAAAAATTCCTCCGCCTCAACTCCATGAACACAAATTCATAATAAACAAAACAAAAGAAAAAGAAAATACTAAATCAAACCCATGAAAATAAATACAAAACCTTTTGACATTGGCTGTGTGACATAAATTATAGAGCAAGACTGACAACACTGGCAGCTGGGGTTGTGAGTAATTGTGGTGGGCTTGTTGGAGGAGAGAGGAAGGTTGCCACCTAAGGCCCTTTGATTTGACAAAGAAAATTTTTTTGGGCAAGAGGGAGTGGCACTAAAACAAATATGACACCGTTGGTGACGCTGTTGCTGGCTTGCCATGAACAAGAGGGAGTGGTGGCGTCGGTTAGGCAGTGGGTGAGAGAGATGTTCTTGCATAAAGATGATAGTGAATTGGGTTTTTAAAAGAAAAAAAGATTTAGAATATTTTTTAATTATAGCAAATTTTATAAAATTATGAACTCAAATAATAAGGTTATTATAGTATTTTTATAATTTTATTCTTCTCAATAACAGATTTCATTAACGGATCTTAATCGATGGGTGAGAAAGTGTCATTTTGACACTTGATGGATGGGAAAATTTCGTTTTTCCAAACCTTGGGTGCAAAAAAGTCGTACGAGTAATATTAGCCTTATAAAGAGGCATACAAATAGAATGTCAGAACATACGCACCAATAACTGAAGTTAATGAGAATTCACATGGGGTTTCATGACTGCAAGAGATAAATCAAATTCCTCCATGGGATTGGCATTGCTCCAACACTTTGCATTTTTTTTTTCTTTTAATCTTTTTTTGGGTTGAATATTGTTTTAGTTCCAATTGTCTCTCCATGTAGATCAATTAATCTAGTGGAAAGTTATTAGGATTTGAATTTGGCAGAAGACAAAATGTTCAGATTTCAACAGAGCATATCACATGTCTAAACTTACTTCAATATATTGGTGCATAATTAGGCTCGAGAACATGGTAAAGTCACCCTAACTACAGCAATGTTACATGAAAGCTTAGTAAAAAAAGAGTTCTTTTATCAATTGCAAATATGTCTATTGAAGCTTAATTTCCCGTCGTGGATGTCAAATCTTAGGTCCAATAAAATAGATATTGTTCGCTTTAGGTATAAATTTTTGATCCAACAAAGTAGATTTTATTCGCTTTATTCACAAACTCACAAATTTGTACTTCGGCTTCACAAATGCATCTACCTCACTATCTAGTTAGAAGAACCCAAGCCTTATATATTAAATCTCATGCTTATCCGCTAGGTCCTTGTCAGGTCGTCACACATGTCCAATAGCGAACTCGCTCTGATACCAATTGTCATATCGTAGATCCAAAGTGGAGAACATTTGCTTAGTTAGATTGGGATATGACAATAGATTTACAGTAACTACATGAAATTTTACAAAGAGAACGTGTTTTTAGGGTTTCTCTTCCCATGTCTTGGAAAAATCTGCACAAGGAAACTTAGATTAAATACCCAATGAGGTGCATATCCAATGACCAATATCTTGAGAGTCACAATGTGGATCTGATCTGAGAGACAAGATTTAATGCAAAATCTTGGGAGTTTTTAAATGCAGTCTATAGCTTGGATTGAGTGAGTGTTGGTTGGGTAGCAGCAGAGCAATTTGAATCTATAAGCATGTCAACCACATGCAGTTCACAACTCTAGACATACTTAGTAAATGTGAAAGCACAAATGGAATGCCACGACATGGGGTATTCATAACATGAAATTCAGAGAGAGAGAGGAAAAGAATTCACATGGGATTTTATCTTTTGATGACAGGAAGAGAAAACTAAAATTCTTCAATGGGATTGGCTTTTGCATTTGTTTTTCTTCAGATTTTGTTTTGGACCAATTGTCTCCATGTATATCAATCTAAAGTTAAGCTGCATTACAACGATTTGAACTGGGCAGGAGACAAAAAGTTGAGAAACCAACAAAGCAAATCACATGTTCAAAGCTTAATTTAAAGCATGAAAAGTGGATAAAGGCTTGAGAAACATTAAACACATTCAAATCATAGCATCGGGAAACTAATGATATTGATCTGTGTTAAACATACACTGTGTCACAATGTTTCAATTTTAAGACCAGATTTATACTAAAACATGAAAGTTCAGGCAAAAAGACTGCCCTGTCAATTACAAGTGCGATTAGGGTGACCTTGCATTTATTATGAATCAATGTTGTTTTTCCATTAGAAAACCAGAGAACCAAGAGCTAACTATCGAGACTTCAGACCACTTCGCGAAATGGTATTGTTTTTCCACCAAAAAACCGGAAAACCAAGAGCTAACAATGGAGACTTTGGACCATCCACATATTTTGCGAAATGGTTCATGCATATTTGTTGCCGCGAAAACTAAGATCAAATTGGTAAGGATTAAAATATACCTTCGTTTTTTCTATTTATTTCTATTCTGTGATCTATGGAAAGCTAATAATATACATGCCATCGAAAGTATTAACTAGGTTTGGTAAAAATTATGGCTTCGTTTGGTTCACATATTGGAAAAACTTTTCTAGTTTTTCCAAAAAAATTAACTTTATTTTACCTATTTTGAAAATAGTTTCTAAATTATTCAACTTACGTTAATCCCCCTAAATTTGTTAATTTAACTAAACAACCCCCAAATTTTTTTTTGAAAGTTGACAAAAACACCCCAGTAACCCAAATTTACTAGATTCTGACCATCACTGCCGGAAACTAGTCAGAATCTGGTGTAATGGCGCACTACAGACTGAATCTGGTCGGTAGTGCGCCGATGTAGCCTTTCCGGCCAGATCCACGTTGGATCTGGCCGGAAAAGGCCAGATCTACGACCAAAGATCTGGCCGTCAACGGCCAGATCTTTGGCTGTAGACAGTGGTCAACGACAGCCAAGATATGGTTGTCGTTGACCATCAACGACGACCGTATCTTTGGCCGTCGTTGAAGACCAAATGCGGCCAGATCTGGCCATCGATGGCCAGATCTACGACCGGCAATATCGTGTCGGTTATACGTCAATACGACAACTCCGGCCACCCTCCGGTGGTGGCGGCCGACTGTTCGTGTTTTTGTTTTGGGGGTGGATTGTTAATTTTGAACATTTTATTTAGGGCTATTTAGTAAATAAATAAACATAGGAGATATTTAGGTTAATTTTTAAAATTCTACATCGTAATACCCACCCAATTTAACTTTTTTCAAAAGATTATTCTAAAAATTACCCAATAATGAACCAAACAGGGCCTATAACCTTGAAGCCCATTGTTAATAATCCCACTAAAGTTTAAAAATTTCTCTTGCAAAATTTTAGTTAACATAAATGGAATTCGTGCATCTTTGGATGCTTGCAAGAAGCCATCATTCATTAATATAATTTCCCTAATATCAGATATTGTTATTAATAATTAATAAGATTATATATCATTAACCCCAGATAGATTAAACTAGTTTCATGTTTGGACTCCATGTCAATGAAAGGAAAAATAGAAGCCCATAATATTGGACTTTACAGCAAGGTGGTAGGAAAGTGATGAACTTCCAATTCCTTAACAAACTTGCTTACAACCACTCTTCATTTCTCCACATTCTAGTAGACAAAAGATACACTTCAACAACTTTCACAGAATCGTTTGTTCAAATGAATATAGTTTACATGGAGTATTCAGATTCTAACTACCAGTTATCCTAAAATCTGATGAAAGAAACTGTGATGGAAAAGATCCCGCTGGTTGAACTCATATCACAGATACTGATATGTTGAGTGGTAGGGGGCGGTGAGAGGCGAAGAGAATAAGTAGGAAAGGAATGCCTAAGATGGATGTATCTGGTAGTAGCACAACCACCTCAGAGAGCGAGGAATTCAAGTAAGCACCTTTCCGTCGTAACAAAACCGGGTGGCATCTAGGAAAAAATTGCTACTCGTCATCAGCCGCCAGAGTTGGGCTTTTTGAGCAGCTGTCTTGCTGATGAAGTTCCAATAACCTCTTTTCAGGATTGCAAAGCCCTGGACAATAAGAGTAAAAAGTCAAGCTACCATATATATCACATATTATGAGAACTCAGAATTCAGTACAAACATATTTCAATAGAAATGCACTAAAACATGTATTTTTTAATGTTATATTAAAGCACTTAGAAATTCTACTGAAACCAAATCACCTTGTTGAATTTTCCCACATTTGAGTTGAGTCAACCATATCACCAATGGCATTGCAATGAAATCAATTCAATAATGTCGTAAATAATCAGTTTCTATTTGTTTCTTATGAAAATGGAAAAAAAAAAAATATTCATTTAGAGACATCCAGCAATGATAAACCTAAATATTTATAATCATTTTTTGGCCCTAGTTTATTTTGAAGTAGACAGCATTTTATATATGCACCTCACTGTGTAACAACGTTTACTCCACTAGCCATAAGATGCAACTTGCTACTTGCTATGCTTTCGTCTTCAAAGAAATTTAAAACCAAACACATGCTCATTCAACTTTACCCGCTCTTGACTCTGTATCATCACTAAACAAGTTTGGAAAACATTTCATATTCCATTATAAAGGTCAAGATAAAAGTGAACATCTGAAATAACATCCAAAATAAACTAATCAACGATACTTGATCATAGAACTTAATACCATTTACCATTTCACCTCTATCCTTTTGTAGCTACAGTTACAAACCTGAACATTTGGGAATATCCCAGACAGCAATAGATGTTGCTGTACACTCTGCTTGACACAGTCCTCTGTTATCTTCATGATTGACATTCATTGCAAGCATCCACGAACCAATCGTAACATCTTCATTGCTGAACATCCGGAAACTGTAATTTCAAACAAAATAAAAAACATTATGTACAAGGGAAAAACCAAAAATAATACAACACTTAAACATTATAATATACTTCCTATAAATTTGATATTTTGCCGTGAACAAGAAAGTCAGCATGTGCAGATAGTTACATTCAAAAAGAGGAAAATAAGACATTTTTGAGTAAATGCACACAGCCTTAAAAAGTTCATCCATATGAACAAATAGGGTTTTGTTCGGTGATATGATCAGATAGAAGGTCAACCCAAGAACAAGCCCACCAGTAACTCACCAATCACACATATTTCTGGTATAACTGAAAAGCTTGGCCCTATGAATAAATATTTATAAAGATAAGCAACATAAAGATAATGAGAAAAAAAAACCACTAAATGATAGTCAGTGCACTGAGTTATTGAAAGAGCAGACTTGCCTGTCATTCCTGAGAGCAACCAAACTTGCAACAACATCTGAAGAAAGAGCATATATAGGTCCATATGCATGGAGAAAGTACTCCTTCCCAATCAAATACGACAGTGGTTCATACCTGCATGAATTAAGTAGATCTGATCACTTCATAAGTACATGAATTCAGCACCAATTTCTGAAACCACTAAACATTAAGCCTCCACCTAGTACATACTGACCCTTGTTATGAACCCACAGCTATAACCGGAGGTTCAAAAAGAAATGCTTTAGGATTTATGAATTGCATTTGGATCATTAATAAAATATGTTCAAGACTATAGTTGGACTATGTTTATTTTTCTTCAGAGCTATGGTTAGTCTGTAATCCTTTTGTCATCCAATTCCTTCTTGACCACTAAAAGCAGAGCCTGAAAAAGGATACTACTTTTCTCATCCAATTCCTTCTGGATTTCTTTTAACTTTCTGATTAACAGACATTAACCTAAAAGTGGCCCTCTGTCTCTTTTTCATCATTTTATTATCAACAGCAAGACATTTGAGTCAAGTAGTGCAGTAATCACCAGAAAACCAAGCAAGAAAGCAGTCAAGAAATATTTACATAAATCATGTAGATTAAAATAAAATATTAGGACTAACCACTTGAGCTTTGGATCAGTAAAAACTGGACCCTTTTTCATGCATCCAAGATAAGTCTGAGAGTGAGTACGCTCTTTTGCCAAGAGCAATGACAAGCGATCTATGAATATGTAAAACAAAAAATTAGAGTTAGAAACCTCACAGTAAAAGAGAGAAAAAACTAGAAAAAGAAACATAATAATGTACCAACTATCAATACATTTTTATAAAATCTAATCACCTGGCCGCAAATATATATCATCATCAGCTTTGACATAAAACTCAGAATCAAAGAGTGCATATGCAGCTCTGAAGAATGCCAGTCTGCACCAAGGACTCCAAATGAGAACGATTTCTATTTTTATTATTCTTTTAAATGATGACTATAAATTATCGTCAACACTAACGTTTTGTAGGGGAGATTACTGTACTCCTCCTGAATATCTAATAGAAGGAAATCATCATATTCCGCAACCTCCTTTCTGAGAGCTGACATCTTTGAATTATCACTGGTTCTACCAATGATAAACCTGAAAGCCAAACCAGTGGCTTCTTCCAAGCTGCAAAGCATATTCCATTCAAATAAGGTTCCTATGAGCTGTGCTAAGAACATATAATCACCAAAGTTTACTAGAATATAACATCAAAAGTCTTAAAAGCCAAAAAAAATTATAACGTCAAAAATTTAATATTGTAGTGAAGAAATATCTATCAAATTTGACAATTTGAACAATTAAAAAAAAAAAAAAAGAAAAAAAAAAAAACCTACTAGCTCATTAATGTGGGTGCATCAAACAATCAATCCAGTTAGCTCAGTAAAAGCTCTACTTGCATAAGCAAGACCTTATTTCTAAATCACCTACTCATTCAAGAACACAGCTACTTCAAATTGATCTCCCTAACACAAATCCAGTTTCTTAAGCCCATTTTCCCCATAATTCCCATTTCCCAACTTTAAAACACATTTCCACAATTTTTCTTTAAAATATCTTACTGATTTACTACATAACTCTCCTTTATCAGCTTAATCTTAGCCAAAAATAATAATAATAAATTCTGCTCAAACTTTCAATCATTTTATTTATACCTAAAGCGGTGAAAAAGAAATCCGAAATAAGGAACAAATTAGATATAAAATATCATACTGATATTGAACTCAAACTGAATACTGATCCTAGAAAAAGAATCCGTACCGTTGAAGGCCTTGACGATCAGACGGCATCCACGTCTTTCGCAAAGATCTCCTCCGACCCACGGACCCGAACCCGGTCTGGATCCCAACAAAGCCCATAACTTTATGCCTCTTCGATTCGGACCCTAAACCACCTTTATCATTATTAGTATTAGCATTGGTGGTCCAGAGGACTTTGACGGATCTCGGAGGGGAGTTGTTGCAGCGGTAGCCGCCGTGAGAGACGGCGAGAATGGCGGAGATGCCGAAGACGAAGCCGGCGATGCCAATAATGAGAAAAGAGAAGAGGAGGACGGTGGATTTGCGAGAGGAAGAGGGACGCGCGTGGAATAATTTGGGAGAGGAAGGCATTGTGGTGGTTTAGTCAGTGAGTGAGACGAGGAGATTTTGAGTGTTTCATTACACAGAGACTGGAGTGTAAGAGAAGCAAAATCAAAATCAAAATAAAATAAATAAAACAAAAATAAGCGATTCTTCAGAAAGTATTTTTTTAATAATTGTTTTAAAAGTATATTAGAGTATTTGGAAGTAGTTTTTATTACTATGAAAATGGTTTAATGAACATAAAAAGGTTGGGGAAGAAAGGGACCTTCTAACTTCTTACCATAAATAAATTGTACACATTAACCTAAAATTCTATGGAATGATGACCGATTTAATTAGTAATCTTTATTATGTACTAATAAAGAGTAATCAATTTTTTTCCACGCAAATAATAGGTTAATGTCACTTTTCCATCCATAAATTTCTAAAATATTATTTTATTATCCAAATTTTATTATGTTTCCAATCACCAACATTTTTTTTCTCAATTATCACTCATCAAAACCCGTCAAATCTTACTCCTATTGGCTTACTAATTGTCGATAATTGAGCAATTATGGTTTGTACAACTACCTCTCCCAAGTCAAATTCTGATCAATCCCAACCACTAAAATCCAACCTTCCATCACTAAAAGTCTTCAAAAACCCTAACAGTTTAGACCGAGTTTGCTTTCTGTTTGCCGCAAAAATATAAATTTGCATAATAAAGTGGTATTTTAAAAGTCTGTAAGTGAGAAAATGTCATTAAACCATTATCTAGGTGAGAAAAAACCGTTAAACTCTGTAACAAAATATTTTTCCCAGTATTTATGCATTTTCTATGTAATAAAAATTACCATAGTGACAATGAATTTTCATCTTATATGTTCAGTAAATATATATAACTTTAATATATATCTTTTACGTTTAGTATGAGAAACCTTAATTAGTTTTTTCTTTTTCAAGCAGCCTTAGTTTAACTTATATTTGAAAAAAGCTTAAAGAAAAAGTTTGCAAAAGTGAAATATGGGTGTGGCAGAATCCTTACAGCTAGAAAAGAAACAGAAAAAGGAGAAGAAAGGCTTGCTTTGTTTCTCTTTTTTTTTTTTTTTTTTTTTTTTTCCTATTCAGATATTCTTACCAAGATTTTTCTACTACTTTTTGGTGACATTACTTGATGTAAAAATGTTTAATTTGTAACATGAAGATTCAATCCTTTTTATTATTATTATTTTATTTTTTGTTTTGCCTGGAGATTCTTGCTGCAATTATCCTAAGCAGGAGGGAGAAAGCAAACCAAAAAGTAAAAACAATTTCTAATATTTACATTTCATTTCTACTTCTCATTCAACTCAAAGGCTCCTTGTGGCTGTTTGTCCAAAGAAACCTGTGTCTTGTCATCCATACATGAGGTTTCACCAATACAATTCATTTCAACCATGTTTTCTCCAGAAGTAGAACCCTTTTCTTCCCAGGACACCTTTGAAAATTGTTCCTGAGATTGCTTTTCTTCATCTACATCTTCTTCCATGTTCTCGAATTCCATTCCCTCCTCTGGCATTTCACCTCTAACTTCATCGCTTCGATCAACTTGATGTACATTATCAGGGATTTTTGTTTTGGCACCAGCTTTGTCCACAGACTCATCAATAGGCTCAAAGTCATCACAAGTACCTACTTCAGTTGGTCCTATATACGTTACAAGCTATTTCTTGAGAAAATTAAAACAGTAATGAAGAACAATACATGTTCTGTTCAAATGAGTGTAAATACTAACCGGTTTGTCCATCTGCTTTATGATCTCCATACAAGGGTTTTTTAAGAAGAACCGTTCCAGGAAAGACCATCAAGTTAATCTTCTTTAGAGCTTTCTTCTCCTCTGGCTCCACTGGCTCAAAGCCAAAACCCTCTGTCCATGTGTCAACAAAATTGGGAATAGCTGATATGACAAGCTTTTCCACCTTGAATGATATTAACATCTACAGCCACCATTAAGGGAAAAAGGTAAAAATAGTAAATCAGATAGAGAGGCTGCTAACAAGAACAATTAAAGATCTCAATGTGATAGCGAAAGCTGAATGAATTATGTTTCCTTGATACTCAAAAAAACTATTTTACTATTCCGGCAATCCAAAATCCAAACATATACAATTCTTTAAAATAATAAATAGAAACCAAATTGTCTTCTGATCTCATACTTTTAAACATTGTTTTGAGAATGAAAAACAGAAAATGCCATCAAACATATTCTACGCTTCTTATGCGAAGGTTTGATAAACATTCATGCAAGTATCGCAAAGCAACTACAAGAAGGAAAGTGATCAATTCAGAAGCTTAAATTAATAGGTAAGTCAACAGTGGTATTTAAGCTCTCACAAAAGGTAAGGAACTATGCTTTTTACCATCCAAATGAAGGCACTCAAGAAATTTTTTGATGACAAAGCAACACAATGACCTATAAAACTGAACGAAATACAATAAAAGAAACGAAATAAGAAATTGATGCCTAAAAAACCCAGAGGTAGCAGGATAAGATGGGAATATCTGTCTTGAACAATCTCAGCTTCAATAGGGGCATAAAAGAAAAAATGCAGCCAATTACTATACTGACGGAAAAACTTAGGCATAGATTTATGAAGTAAAAACCTCTTCTATGGCAGCCATAAGGCGTCTGCACATTCCCTTGCGGCGGTAATTGCTGCAGGTAGCTATAAGTGGCATCTCTGCAACAGCTGATCCATGGACTCTACAAACAAAAAAAGTTTTGATTTCACATTCACAGTAAATGAAGAGCCAAGTAAACATGAAAATGAAATGAAAATGGAGGCAATTGATTTGCAATGTAGGTTTCGATTTTGCAAGTGAGATAGAGCCTACACCGACCATCCAATAAAGTTCTTTGATAGGAGACCGAAACTAATATATTAAAGACAAAGATGAAAATGTGAATGGCTTTAATTATCCACTACAGTGCCAGATCACCTACACAGAGGTAAAAGAGTGACTGAAAACTCTATATAGGCTCTGAATAAGACAGATTAACTATAGGATCTGTCCAGGCAAAAGCAGCCCCAAAACAAATAGTTAATCAATCTAGAATCCCATTCCAGTTAAATAAAGAAGAAAGAGGCTTCCTGAAACTGAAGCACATAGAGGTGCAAACGAATGCACTTTTAACAGGTCATGTCATAGGGAGTCAAGTCAATGATTCATTGAAGTTCTTAACAGAAGCCAAGTCTTTAGGGATACCTTTGTAACCATTCAGATTCAAGGTCTTGAAAACTAACAGGTTCTGGATGTATTTTATTGACCTCGAAGCAAATTCAGAAGGCTTTAATTTTAAAGCTTTTGTTTTGGTGAAAGATGCTGTATCTCACACAAGAAAAATTAGAGTTAAGTCAGTTGACTGGTAAGTTTTGATAATACATGTATATACACAATCACGGAAGATTGGGGGAGAGGGAAAAAAAAGGGAAGAACAGAGAAAAAGAAGAAAAGAGATACCAAAGTTAAGGTTTCTCTATTTTAAAATTGATCCAAAATGTGGACATCTTTTAACTTGGATACCGATTCATGTAACCTGGATGCAGCAATTTTTGTGGCATTTCAACAAGGCTAATTATAACCCTAAGTAATATTCTTTTTCTTAACCTTTAGAGAATCTTAATATTATATTTTCCCAGAAATTATAGCCAAACTACAAGTCCAAGGAAATCTTGACATTTATCTTTGTGGCAATCCAGTAATTCCGGCAGTATGTCTTATCAGTTAATCTTTGACCCATAGCCTACAGTTCCCAATATATTTTAATATACCAAACATTTAACTCATTTAATAAGCAATAGTCTACAGGTTTCAAAGAATTTTTTTGGTACGATGGAGGAAGCATTAATGGCAAATACAGATATTAAGCATGAGACTTGCTGTTTGAAGCTCTAAGAATGTTGAAATTCTATATGAATATGAGAAAGATATTATAACCATCAACTATTTTTGAAGCCACGATTTAAAATATCAGATGCCCAAATGCAAGTATCAATCCTACCTGATTGATGCCACAGATATCAGAACATCATCCTTTTCCAAGACTACTGAGTAAAATCCATGAAAGTTCAAGCGAGAAAATTCTGAGCTGCAGACGACCAATAAAAAAGCAAAAAAAAGGCAAATGGTTACCATAAAAATTCATGCCAAAGACTATTAAGTTACATATGGTAACCCTAATCTTGTGTCAAAAACAACAACTATAATCACCAAGGGCATTGCTGTTTTGCTTTCCGCTAAGTAGAAGAGATTATTTATTTGACATATAACCCAATAATTGAACTCCTCCACTCTCTAATAGGTGAAGCTTTCAACTCAGACCAGGAGATCAATACCAGAAATCAGCAAATATACATATGGCTTATACCTAAAGATCATATGGAATTTGATTACACAAGGTATAAATCAATGGAAGGTACTTGGCAGGCAGAATCCCTCGCCTAATTGTCAGTTGACATTTCTGTTCCTTTGAAAGAAGATTTCTTCATTCTTTTCTTTTTTCAATTTATTAAAATTTTGAACTATATGGTTCCTCCACTGACTCTTCGGCTCACCTTGTGACACATGGCATGACTTAGTAGTTACTAATGTGACACCTTAATGCAGTTTCAGACCAAGAAACATTACATTGCAGCTCCATTTCATGAATCAAAAGTCCAGAAATATAAAGAAAATCAAAGTTTGCACCCTCAGACAACCAATAGAAATAGTATTTGCAACGTCTATAAACAATTAAAGATGCAACAGTCACTTAATATTTCCTAGAAATCTAATTTGGAAAAAAACAATAAAATAGGTTCATTATTATAGAATGTGAAAGTTTCCTATGAACCTAAAAATGTCAGAAGCAGGTCGGCCTTAGATGGGAAAAACAAAAGGAGTTAAGGCCCATCCCAATTGAAGCAAATTATGGAGCATCTAAAAAATGGGAAAGTGAAAAATGTGAAAAAAAAAGTAACTTTTATTGTCTTATCATAATAAAAAAAACAACAGAATTGCAGTACAACTTTTGCATGATTATTAGGAAAGAATATACAAATATGCATCTCCAGTACAATGTGGAGTTAGAACCTTCCCACTAGACCAAATGGGTCGGGAAAAGGGTTGGTAAAGAAAAGAGATTAAATATGGAAATGAAAGCCTGAAAAAATATAGATGAGAGAACCAAAAACTATCGACACAAAACTCCCAAAAATAAAAAAAGAAACAGAAACAAAAAAACAGGGACCGACCTCCAGTTGTATAAGAGATGGGGTAACATGTCTATTCCTGTTCTTGGATCCACCATGGACTGAAAGCATTCCTCCATAATAGTAAGAGCAATGGCTAATTTTGAGTTGCATTCAGCCTTCAGGGCAAACCGTTGAGCGGAGTGAACTTTTTGGTCTTCATGAATGCATCTAAGAAGTGTCCAAGAAAAGCCATCAGCAATATGGTTAATGATCCCAACATGAGAATGAAGACCTGAATAAACCTGCAGATACCAACAACCCTAAGTTCTTGAATCACAGCTGAAGACTCAAAAAAGAATATTTGAGATACAGAAAAATGGAGAGTGAGAAACTAAGATATATAAGGGGGATGAGCTCGTTCAAGAGATAATATACAAATTTGGTAAGACAAGACTAATAAGTCCCCCTTTACACAGGCAAAGACAAGATTCAAACTTTGTAGCTAGGGAAAAGGACCGTTATGCTGCTATTGGATAGACTGATGAAGTTAAAAAGGCAGAACTGCAGTGTAAATTATTCAATAAAAAATGACATTTTTGGCCACAGAAGGAAGAAAAATGAAACACACATTCGAAGACCTTATTTTACCATCAAGATGTGCAGTTACTACAATGACTGATGATTTAGGTTCTGGTCCAAGGATGGAATACATTATGTGGTTGAGACTTGAGAGTTATCAATTTTGCCTCATATACAAGTCATCTTCTACCTCAAGCACTCATACTACATTAACATTTGACAAGCTGAAGTCACCAAGTATGCCCAGCGTCTTGTCCAGAAAGGACAAACACATGGGATATGCTGTGCAAGATCATGCGTAGATATTCAAGTGCCACCACAAGTAGAATCTAGGGTTTGACCAGTTTTAGTCACAATTCTTTTATCATTAGGTGCAGGCAAGCAGGTTGGGAAAGATAGAATAATTCATTCTTCTTGGGATGGGCTTGGGGAAACACTGACCTGCCTGCCCCTGCAGTTGCTATACATAAGCAGGTACACAATCAAACAAAATGTGAAGACAAATAACAAACTTTAGCTCATACACCAAAAGCCACGCCTTTGAAGGTCATACTAGCCAGATTCAACAGATCCTCCAGAACAATACCTAAAATAAGTTAGGAAGTTTAAAAATCAGACGAAAGTACCTCCTGACAGCTTCCTCCACAAAACCAAGTATCAGAAACCACTCCTTTGCATACATTTTGATCTCTCAGGCATGCCTTGTGATCTGCTTATGTGCATGATAAATTTATAATTATCAGGTGATTAGAAACAAAAATTGCAAGAAATGAATCATGGTAAAAACAAAACTGTGAGAATATATACAGAACTTCCCAAGAATAACTATATATATATATGAGGAAAAAAGAAACAACCACAAAAATACTTGGGTGAATAATAATAACAACAGCTTCTTAACAGGGATAAAGCAAACACACTAATTTAGTTCCAGTCTGTGGAACAAAATGGCACTTTGTTACAAAGGCAAAGTGAGGGGCCATGGTACCCGAAGCTTTGGCAAATGTTAAAATAAGAGATACTTTGATAGTAATTAGTCAATTACCAGCTGAAACTTATAAAAGGATCCAATAATGTTTTTCCCATAAGCTACTCATTTCTTCTTTTTTTGGCTAACAAAAGACATTAACTTAATATGCCAATTAAAGCAGTTATTGGCTTTCTTTCTCAGAAATTCAACTTGCTAATATTTCTTAGATTTACTGCTTAGCCGAACTCTTCACAGTTTTTATTTTCTACTTTCTCGTAGAATCAATTAAATTCGTTTTAGCATTTATAATCCAATATCTTTAATACTATAGCACATGGCCTCCTCAAGATCAAAATCCAGCTTATATATGCACAACATTTGAAAGCTAGGATATTGTTCATGGTACTAGGTTTGCATTAAAGTTAAACATGTAAACAACGGGACAACTAGATTTTCTAGAACTCATATTAACCAACGTCAAAAAATACAGTAGCCACAAAAAACTACAGCTAATAGATAACAGAATAATCCATCATTTATATATCCTTCCTACATTAACAGGCTTCTTAACATCCCTTTCTACAATAGTATCCAGCATGACAATTATAAATATACAGTAAAAATTCAAATTCAAAAGAAAGTTTGACTTGCACATCAGGAACAGTAGTTTTGAGCCTCCACATTTTTTAAGACATTTCTAGCACGAAAAAACAATATCAATGTTCAGAGAGGAGAGAAAAAAATTGTCTTTTCTATCATCAACATATGCCAGCTTCAAATTGGAATTCAGTTTGCAAGCCCAAACTGCAGTTTAACTTATACCTATCATATTGCATCAATGATATTCAAGCCACCCACAGGCTTATGGAAACAATTTTAGGAACAAGAAAAATAATCAAGCCAAATGCAAGGGTGCGAATTTTACATTTATGCTCGCACTGAGAACATTTTAATGCGTCAAAAAAACTTGAAGCTGCTTTATCGTCAACCAAATCCCCACATATCCAACAGGTGCAATTTGAGCAATACCAACTGCCTGCAGGAAGCTCCTGGAGTGAAATAATGAATAGGAAAAGGAGAGAGAGAATAGTTTAGCATGGTATCCAATGCATGTAATAATCTAAAGATAGTAGAATCATAGTTATCATTGGCTCTGAGAAACACAACTAATAGATTTTCAATATATAATTCACTGGGTTGAAAGAACAAAATGAATACATATAATAATAAAGTTAAAGAAGACAAGTCCGCAACACCATGAAAGGAGTGAAAAAAAGTGCTCAACAGTATATGTATAAATGACAGTTCTAGAGCAAGTTTTCCAAAAAGAGAAAATATGAATGAATTTATATATTGATTGCCTTTCCCTTTAGAATGAAGGAGCATAATTTTCAAATAAGTCAAGAACCATAATGTGGAATTTCACACATGCCGGAGGAAAATGAATATACAATCATATTACATTCATGGTAAAGACACTGTTATCTGAATACATGCACATACAGTCATGTTTTCATATGATTAACTGCACTGAACGAGCAAGGAAGCTTATAGCCACATCAGCAGCTATCTAACTACCCAAATCCACTTAATAAATAATATATCTTCAGATCTTAATTGTTTCTAATCACTCACATATATATCAAGATCATAGGAGAAAAACAGAGTTTCACCAATATAATATCCAGAAACTACAGCAGTGAAGACTTGCTGTAAAAAAATATTTTGACCTTTACCAATCAGTTACTTGAGGGAAAGAAAATGAATGTGTATATGCATAAAATGATGCTACACTTACGAATTTTGGATACAAAGTTTGTATCCCAATTGATGTAACAGCTTATTTGGCATGGACACAACATTCATTACATCAACTCACAATTAATGTTAGTGTTAACAAATAAGTTACTACATCAATTTGTATCCCAACTTAGTAAGTTTAGCATTACTCATGTGCACAGCACCTAGCGTTAAAAATGGAAACAGATTATAAATGATGTACATTACATAAGAATAGAGTTGCTAAAAAAAGAAAAAAGTCGTTTGAAACTAAATTTAACACACATCAGAAAATACTGCCAATGAAAAGAAATGAGAAGGGGTATATTACTTGATAATTTTTCCCGGAGCGGAAAGGATTTCATGCGAAATAGAGGATATGTTTATATATGCAAAAGTGAATAATAATGAAGTATTTTATAAACCGCACCATCTTTTGCCAAGATTAATAACCACAAAATTTTAAAATATTATTCGAATTTACCAAAAAAGAAAAAAGAATTAATGCATGAAAGGACTGTAAAACAGCAGATTGTGACTTATACATCTCACTGGTTCAAATTTTACAGGCAAAAGTTTTATAATGAGGCTGGATGACAGAAAAATTATTATGATCAATATGCAGTCAATAGCTAAAAAGATACACTCAGAAAATATGCTATGATCAATGCTTGACCTCAAAATCAAACCCAAAATCCTTACTATCATAACTCACAGTAATCTAAGACTGCAAATGAAATTTGCAAAAAGATATCAAGCCAATACAACTAAATTGAATGGAACAGAAAACATTGCAACTACCACAAAAAAATATAGTGCATAGTCTGAGTTATACTCCGAGTTGCAAAACCAGAAATGAAATAAATTAAGAATAATGAGATGTGATCACTAAGGATAGCAAAAATAATAGAATATGTAAAATGAGATCAGAACAAACCTGAATAGACAAGCAAGCCAGATGAAAAGTAGAGGGGCAGTTATCACAACAAATCAACTCACCCCCATCACCACAGAGTCCACATGAATCATCATTTTTGTCCTCTTCATCAGTTTCCACCGTTCCAGTTCCAGTTCCACTTTTCCTACTCTTGTATTCCGCTGACCATGCTTGCAGCTGACACAAAGTGAAAGGCTTACCAGATTCCATGAAAAGATTTAAACATGGCCGATTTGGCTTGTACCCAGCATGTATCTTGAATTGGGAAACAGAAAGCACATCATCACAGCACTTGCAGATGATTCCATTACTAGTTACTAGACCATCTTTTATCACAGCATCATCCTTCGGGTTTCGATACTGGATCACATCATTGAGAGATATGACACCAGCAGCAATCATCCAGGACAAAATGGTTCTTGTACCTTCCATGAACCACATAACATTCTTGAAAAGCTTACCCCCCTTACCTGGGGTTCGGGGAAGCAACCTGCAACTACCTTTTCTGTTCTTGAGCTTCGTCCACCTTTTTGATTTACAGGCTTTTGTTTTCGAAGAAGATCTACTACTATTTAGGCTGTACTCTTTGTTTTTTATAATAGCTGAGACTAGCAGGTCATCATCTTTGATTCCGCATGCAACTGGTTTCTTCCGTCCATTTCTAGAAACACCACAGCTCTGATGACTCTTTGTAAACTTTGAGCCTTTTTTGGCAGTCTGATACTGGTTTGGGCTAAAAGCCATGGTGTCTTTGCAACTAACTTGATTTCTTGTATTTAGAACAAGGTAATCCTGAAGTTCTTCTGTCTCTAATAGAGTGCTACTTGCATCAATGTCCTGTGGTGCAGTTTTAGTAGCCACAGGCATATCCAGAATTTCACTTCGGTAGAGTGAGCTCAATTTTATTTCAGATATCCTTCTAGACTTCCTGCGTGTCTTCTTTTTCACTCTATCAGATGCAGAGGATTTATCATCTGTTTTGAACTCCGAAGCTTTAAGGCACTTCTCACCCTCATCTTCACTGTGTCCAGACTGCTGTTCGTCAACTGAAGTTACAGGACCATGTGCAGAAGGATCAAGTTCAATAGACGTTTTTTCAACCTCATCAGAATGAACCACACAATCATCTTTGTGGTGTGGACAGTTATCTGGAGATCCCTTCAAATGACTTTCCACCTTATCAGTAACTTGGCTTTCAAATATTTTTTCTTTTCCCTTCCACAAATGCATTGACACATCTCCTAAAGTTTCTTTGGGTGCTTCTGCATCATGTTCAGAAATTAAATTATCACCCCAAGGAGAAATTGTGTTGCTGTCTTGATGAGGTGAAGCAGATTCGGACCGCCCAACATTGTTAACATCTTCAGAAGCACCAGGAACATCATAAAGGCAACCACCTGATTGGATACAAGTACTATCTGATCCACAAGGGGGAAAAGAAGTCATATCATTGCTACTTTTCTTCCCAGACATACCAAAACCCTGACTACCTGTTACATTGGTGGTATCTACCCCATACATACCTACTTTATCAGCCATATAGATAGATAAACCCATCAGACACTTAGTTCCAATTTCATTTGTCTGTTCATCAAACTTTGAGAAACTTCCATTGCCAGATAGCACATTACAGGCACGGTAGCTTCCCTCAGAAACAGTCAGCAAAGCTTTAGTGTCCAGAGAAGTATCATAAAACCGAACAGGCACCTGTCTCTGAAAACAACAAGTTTCCAAAGAATCTACATTTTCCAGGGCCAAAACAGCCTCATCTTTTTCACTCTTGTCAACTAGTACATTTCGTGCTGCTTTAACGACATCTCCCTTCCTAAGTGAACCAATCTTTCTATCGACAAATATAACAAAGACAAAGGGATCTAAAAGATTCCAACGATGAGCCAATGTGTCAGCAAGATCTGAGTGATTCATTTCTTTCTCAATATTTGTTAATGTCTCTAATAAATCAGTATAGAAATTATTAATATCAGTCCATTCCTTACCCTCATCTTCCTGCACCAAATTGTATCTGTCAGCATATAAAGTCTGACCACACACTCTCCAAGCTTTAGGGAATTCATGAAATAACTTCCCCTCCGGTGATCTGTAAACTCTATCTGTATATTTCCTACTAGGTCTTTTACACGTCTCAATACCCCAGCCCGCAATCGTAAATAAGCGAACAATATGATTCTGAAGAAGACGTCGTGGATCTGTCTTGGGATCAAGCTTCAATGAAACATCAGATACACCCAATCCTAATGAATCGTATTCATTGGCTGTTTCTACAACATGTAGAGCAGATTCAGATTTCTCAGCAACAGTGATAGATGGACTTGCCACCACGAGCCTGGTTGCAAAACTCTCCTGGGAAGTAGGTGACGCAATAGCTTTACCTATAACCACTTCCTTTACAACATGCCCATCTAAGCTTGGCAATTCATGCTTTGTAACACCTGGGTCACTTGCCTCGCCACCTCTTTCTCCATGTATCTTTGACAAATAGCAACTAGATGTAACACCTTGACTAGATGATTCAACTAAATGGAGCTTAACCACTTGACACACCGAGTCTGTAGCTGGACAGGAAGAGCCAGTAACTTTTTCTATTGATGTTGAATTCAAAACCATTCTCATTTCAGGTTCATCAACTGAAAACTTCATTCGCTTGACACTCAAATTCTGGTCATCCATTTCTCCCAAAGCAGATCTTTCCAGAAAACACCTTGATCCTGAAGCCCCTCCAGAATTTTCATTTGCATAATAAGAATTCTCCACAAACAAACTTTTAGAAGAAGACTGTGTTGTCACTGATGAATTTTCACTATTAGAACATAATGATGTATCTCTATTCTTAATGTTGTCATGTTCAAAGTTAATGAGTCCAGTAACAAGACACCTCTTACTTGTGGCAACAGTGCCATTTCCGAAGAAGATCTCCGAGAAAATATGGTGCTCATCATGTGATCCCTCAAAACCATCATCAGAGAAATCTTCAAGTGATGTTCCGAAGGACATCTCTACCAACTAAGAGCAGTCTCACTAGAAATACAGAATCTAACTATGCTCTACAAATAACTACCAACATGACTTGGGTCCGGCCATGCATATTAAATTCCATCTGCCATCAATTATGTTGCAAGTATTAAATAACTTACTTGATAAGTCAATGCATTGAAAGGAAATCAACTTTACCATTTAAGACATCTATTGAATGCTACAGATCTGCAAATGGAAGAGGAAAGAAAAATTAAGATGTGCATATCATATACTTCATGTAATCAGATCTTACATAAAACTATAAGCTTAAATTAATGCTACAAATATATCAACTCAAATCGCCATTTTATTACTAAAACCTTGATGATATTTCAGAAAACAAAACACTAGAGAAAAGAAAATTTAATATAATAGATTGTTACATTGGATTACTTAAATATAAGGCAACTCTTCAACTTCAAAAGTCTTTTAAGTCCCAAAGATCTCTAATAAATCACAAATAAAACAAAAATAACTCTACTTTCAAATCAGAAATCATAAACTGTAAATTACAACTGCTCATTAAGTACACTAGGATTTGTAATATCCTGAATACTATAATATCAGAAATGCCTTCCCCATGCATCATTGCTTGATATAAAATATTATGTTGTACGTTTAATTTTAGGATCTCTATGGTGTTAAAGATGTTCAGACATCTGTTGGCAAAAGAAAAAGAAATCATAAGCGGCATAAGCTGCTGACCCTTTAGTTTCATTACTGCCCTAATTGAACAATGTTATAAATGGGAAAATGAAAGTAGAGGTGACCTTGGAAAATCAAAATTGAACTACATATGAAGCAAACAAGAAAAATTTATCAAATTAACAATAAAAGTTGGAGGGGGAGCAAGATCATGTATAATTCAATACCACACAACAAACTCAACTGATTTTCTTTTTACATCCGTTAGCCTACTTGCCACATCTTAACTTAGCTTTAATGTAAATATGGAGCTTTTAGAGTCTTTAAATGCTTATAATTTCATATAGGTTTATCACCAACAATTGAAAACCAACACATTTCCTAGTATATAGGTCCATGCAAAGCAAACATATTAACTAATAAATGAGGGTCGAACTATTATACAAGTGCATGACTACAAATGCCATGCATGATAAATTAGACTACAATATAACCTCCTCAGCGTTATGAATTCTGCCAGTCTTTAGCGTAGATTTTAATACAAACACATCATGCCCCTCAATGTAGACTCGCCAGTCGCCACCCCCAAAAAGAGAAGTCAATAAAAGAAATGAACAGTAATAGATAGATAATATGCAAATTTTCAACATTAGAGAAATTCAGCAATGCATGAACTAACACTAGCATATAAATTGCATATTTGGAGATTCAATTTACAGCTTTATAAATTTTCACAGATTTAATAAAAATCAAAGATGTTAATAACAAACAAACAAAAAAAAAAAAAAAAAAAAAAAAAAGGAAACTTGCATATACCAGTTCTAAGCAAACAAATAGAATCACCATCCAAGCATTGAATCAAAAGAACATGAAATAACAAAAACAAAAACCCATGAACAAATTCCAATAGCTCATCAAACCCATCTCTAGAAATGCTTGATTAATCAAAAACTAAAACCAAACAGACCCAACACCCAAAATTCACACAGATCAAAACCCAGAAAGCAAATTCAAAACTATAACACACAAACAAAGAATCACCCAACCCCACATTAAAATATTCAACACACAAATCAAACTTACAACAAATTCAAACATAAACAAAGTTCATCAAATTCCTAGGAAAAAAAGCTCACCATTGTAATGCATGTAGCAATCAACATGCAAAGAGATTAGAGAATGAATAAAGAATCTAGAACTAGGGTTTGAAAGCGGTTTGGTTTGGTTTAGTTTGAAAAAGAGAGAGAGCAGAAAATGAGGGTCTCTTTGGCTTCATCACCTCAACTAAAGAACAAAGCCCCACCAGTAAGTAAAGAGAGAGGGATTGTTAAAAACCCGAATAGTGCTCCCTAGTACAACAGATGTCATGTAACTCTCTCTCTCTCTAAAACAACTTTCTCTCTCTACATCTCATCTCCTCTCCTCTCCTCACCTCTCTCCATGTGACTCCTCTTATATCTCTCTTCCTTTTCTCTCTCTTTTTAGTTAGTCTCTTTTCCCTTTTTTAACCCACTTCACTTCATTCTCCACTCACCACTGTGCATCCCATAAACCCCTCATTTGGGTTTGGGATTTAAAACTTCCCACATAAAATTCACTACCCTTTTGAATTTACTTCCAAGAAATTATTATGTCCACTTTGTGCTTCATGATTTGTTTTTTGTTGTTTCCATATTGAATTCAAGTGTCTTAATGCTTATATTAAACATATTTTTCTATATTTTTTTTTATATTAAATATTTGCAAATTCAAATCTTTAAACATAGTGATAAATAGTTCAAAAAGCCAACGATTCTTTTACAACCTCTATAATTTTCCTTTTAAATTTGAGCTTTTCTTAAATTAAAAGAGGCCCCTCTTTTTATTCTCTATGATATCATATAATATATTAAATTAATAATATTTATTTGACTTCCAGAAAAGAGTGACAAATAGGAAAAAGTAAGAAGTTCATCTCGAGGCTTTGGCTAAGTAAAAGGTAAAGTTATAGTCCCAAAAAGTGGGTAATTTACATATATATATATATATATATATATATATAATGATCAGGGATGTTTGGGTCAGTTTATGCACACCTCAACTAATCTCTTGGGACCCTAGAACTATCGATCAGATACGAACTCCAATGACCACCTCTAGTAGCAACCGTGGGGACTCAAATTGGGAAGACTATTAGATTATCCTCTTACTCTTTTACCCTCAAAGGAACTTGAACTTTGAAGATTATGTTGGATCTTTCTCTTGAGATACCATTTTAGATCATCTTCTTGCTCTTTTACCATTAAGGGGACTCGAATATGAGAAACCATGTTAGATTTTTATTTGTTATTTTACCATCAAGACACTCAATGATGGTTAAAGTAGGGTAATGTTAGAGACTAAAATGTTACTACAAAATTCTACTGGATTATATCTACATAAACCAAACCTTAGGGATGAAATTGTTATTATCCCATGACAAATAGAAGCACAAAGAATGCCCAGAGGCAGGCAGGAGAAAGAACGAGACAGAATTTAAATAATGTGCTAATGGTTTACTTAGATTATGATTAATGTACTCTAATTAACAATTAAAGTCAATACGACAATTATTTATTTTCTTTAAATGGTATTTACTATTTCTTCATTGACAATGGTGTATGTAATGTTTAAAAAAAACCCAACATGTTACTTTACTTTTTATCCTAATATAAAGTACAAGGAATTTTTGTTATTCTTTTATAAATATTCGTATAAAAAAATATATGTTTATAATACCGAGAGTTATATATATATATATATATATATATATATGTATGTGTGTGTTTGTATCCTTACCTAATAGATGTGTAAATTTGTTAACATAATAAGAAACTTTAAGTTAATTAATAAATTTAATTATAAAAATTTAAATCGAAATGACGACTGAGTTTATTATATGTATTTTAAATCAACATGAGGAGAAGTTTCTTCAAAGTTAATATATTTTGATGATGGATATCAATAAATTATATGATAATAATAACGATTTTTCAACTATTATCAATTCAATAATTTATTTACTTTTCTGTATTAATATCTCATAGAATGATTCTCGTTGGAGTACATATGGGGATTTTATGATATTTCGTAAAATAGTATTATTAGCACCAAATTTGTATAACTTATAACCAACTTATAGACCATTTTATAATACCAATATATGTCGCATTTTGAAGATTGAGATAAAGGATAAGTGAGTTTATTTATAATAATTCACTTTCATTTGATAGTTGGTGTATCGTACTCGATAATTGACGTATCAGAATTTCCTGATACTATGTATATTGTATGGGGGTCAAGGGAAAATATCGTTTGGGAGTAAAGGAAAACCTATTGAATGAGGAGGGCCAATGAAAAGGTAATTTTAAAAAATTGCATTTTGTAAGCTAAAAGATTGAGGGGGGCCAAAGATTAAAATGAAAATTATGGGACGAAACTAATATTTTGTGTTTATGAAAATTTTAAAATTTTGCGGGACAACGGCCACTCTCTTGCTTATGTAATATTTCCACGTGACAAATTTTAAGGAATGGTTACCAAAATTACAATTCCCTATCAATACTGGGGGTGGGATAATCCGATTAACTGAACAAGATTAGCAAAATCGAAAATTGAACCGATTATTCGGTTTAGAGAAAATGAAAACCAAAAACCAGACCAGTTTCGGTTAAAAACCGGTTGTAAACCGAACCGAATATTCGGTTCGGTAACCGATTTTCAAATTAATCCTTAAAATTCTTCAATGTTTCATTTAAATCCCTAAATTCAAATATTTATTATTTCATATATAATTTCATGCTATTTTTCTCTTTTATTTTGGTATTATTTTTGTATTCTTTGTATGAAAAATACATTAAATTACTTATTTGCAGATACTGAATCCAGAATATGAAATAAAAACATAAAGAATTCAATTACACATTACTCAATAGTCAATACTCATTAACAAACTCAAATACATAACATAAATTTAATTTGGCAATGTTAAACTAAACATAACATAAAATTACAAATTAGAAAAACTTAACATAACATAAATCATCTTCATCCCACAATGTTGGTGTTAATGGAGTCTCTTGATTCCGCACTCTCAGGATTAGTTAATGGCACACGAAGAAGATCATCATCTGCAATTAACAACTATAAATATTAATAAATGAAAATAATAAAACATATGAAATATTATTATCACTGCCGTTAAAGAATGTAGTTTTCTCCAAGCAATTCCCATATTCATAATGTAATTCAGATGGAGTAGATATGCATCATCATTGGGAGCTTGCTATCATTGCCGTAGTGACATATTAAGGAAATACTGTAACAGAAAAAGGCTATCTCTTAATTGTTAAATCTTTATTCATTCATCAGTATCTCATAGGATAACCATTAGTTTCACTAGAAAGTAGAGATGTTTTCTAAATGAATGACAGTCCAAGTCTCATTCACGGAGAGTTCTAATAGAGCAACCAATGCACAAACCTTTGATGCAAGCAATTGAACAGAAAATACTGCCTAAATAAATCTAATGACAATGAATTGAAAAAACTCTATAAGATGAAGCAATGATTAAAACAGAGAACAGGCAAACAAAGCAAGGAGAGTGTATTAACAATTGAGGCATCTAATAACAGAGAGGTGATATAAATTAAGCATATGCTGTGATAACTTTAATGTATAATTCAATTACATATTACTCAATAGTCAATACTCATTAATAAGCTTATAGTTAGCAACTCTCCAAAAATTTAAAACAAAATATATGCTATGATAACTTTAATGATAATATACCTCATATATTGGAAATTTGGAATACCCTTCAATCATCAAGATGAGTTAGACTACTTTCCACTCCCGAAGAGAAAACCTCTACACAAAGTTGGACAAACAAGTTAGCTAAAATCATAAATAATGAAGAAAAATATATAATTATAATTGAAAGTTAACAAAAAATGTCACCTGACTCAATTTTAGATAATTCCTCCAAGCTTTCCTCAATGGTCAATGGTCCACGCATATTCCTAATCCAATCCTGTGTGCAGATAAGAGTCTCTACCGTCTTAGTAGCAAGGGAGCTATGAAATGGATCTAATACACGACCCCCTGTACTAAAAGCCGATTCAGATGCAACCGTTGAAACAGGCATAGCCAACACATCTCGTGCTATCATAGAGAGTACAACATATTTTGTTGAATTAGTCTTCTACCAATTCAAGATATCAAAAGTGTTGTCGTTGTCATCCTCACAATCATCCGCTAAATACTTATCCAACTCCGTTCTATGATGAACAACTTTCTTTGCAGCCTTTTTCTCATTATACATAACCCTCATGAAGTCCTCATTAGCAACGTTTGCATCATGCACATCAATGTCAATTGAAACTTGAGATTTCTCACTTGACTACTCATTGTCATCCACCATAAGCAAACTATGTTGCTCAAATAAAGACAACAAAGCTTCCTTCACTTTTCTCATCAACTTGTCAGCTACAACAACATCATAGGCCTCATTAACAACCCAGTCCACATATTCCAATTTGTGCCTAGGATCCAGTACCTTTGCAATGAATAACATAATGTTGATATTATCAACATTTGACCAATACTTATCAAATTTCCCTTTCATCTATGTAGCCATATTACGTAAGCCAAGATCAGGACTTTTACACCATGTTTAAATCTTCAACTCAACGCCGAAAATCTCTCGCATGTATGCATTACCAATAACATAAAGAGACCCAGAGACACGTAAAGTAGCATCGTAAAATACTTTTAAGAAAGGTAATAAATTGTGAGCATACTCCTAATCAGTACTCATAGGCAAACCTCGTGACCTATCACCACTAGTAAGCTCATCTGCATACTTACTATCTTCCAATGCCAACAACTCAAAAGCTTTCTGAAATTTTAATGCCGCTTCCAACATCAAGTATGTAGAGTTTCACTAGGTTTCTACATCAAGAACCAAATGACTTTTACTTGCAATTTTTTCTTTCTCCACACATACCTTAAATCTCTGTAACCTTACTGGAGAAGACCTTACATACCTCACTGCTGAATGTATTCTAAATATGGAGTCATCCATTTCCTTTAACCCCTCTTTCACAATTAAACTCAAAATATGTGCACAACATCTCATGTGTAGAAAATCACCGTCCAATACACTTCCCTTCCAACTTGCTAGTCTAGTCTTCAAATAGCTTACCCCAACATCATTAGAACTAGCATTGTCTATTGTGATTGTAAATACCTTATAAATACCTCAATCAAACAAACACCTTTCAACTGCCTTGCCAATCATTATACCTTTATGACTAGTGATTAGACAGAAATTTAAAATTATTTTCTGTAGCTGCCAATGATCATTAATGAAATGTGCAGTAAGGCACATATAATTAAGGTTCTGA